GAATAAGTAACATCTCATCAAAATCCTCCGCCAAAGAAATCTCTATCTGAGTTCAATCAATCTATCCTCTTAGAACACTTTGTTCCTCTAAACAAATAAACAATTCAGGACCATAAACTTATAAGACTCACAAACATCAACATTACAAACAACGCTTTCAAAGCAATATAAAAGTTCCGTAACAAAAAAAATGAAGCAGATGAAAGAATGTCTTCTTTATATTCAATAGAGAAATGAATTATGCTTATAACATCATTAAGCCACCAAAGAACACAACTTAACAGCAGAACAAGCATATACATTCTTATAAAGATTAATGTACCCCAAAACATATTAATTCTGCCATTTGAAAATTCCATTACCTTTACCAATGTCTGTGACCATTCAAAAGCTTCAAAATACATACTATTCTTCTACTCTAGGCTATGAATTTCTCACATTAAAAACTGTAAAAATTTTAATGTTCCAAAATCAAAAACCATGGCCAATACTTTGCAAAGACATTTATGAGCAAGAAAACCAAATTGAGATCAAATAAAACATCAATGCTACCCACAGAAACATTGAAGCTGTCTAAGAAGATTTAAATTTCAGCTTTCCCAATTTGTCTTATGACAACCAGGAAAAAGGTAATCTGCAGATAGCAGGATACGGGGATTTCCATAAACAGTAGTTCTGAGATCTTTGAATATTGCTTCCATTTGCAACTCCGAGTACAATGTTGATCCAGCATGATCCAAGTAGTTGACACCTACATTTCCAATATAAAGCAAACAAGGAATGAGAAGAATAGATTTTTAAGGGAAATATGAATATTACTAAAAAAACACAAAAAGGGTGTCATCCACGGAAAAATCACTTTTTTAAAAATAAAAATCCACAGAAAAATCACTTAAAAACCAAATTACGTCAAATTATTAATAGGTCCCTAGGTCTTCCGCATCTAGGAGAGGATGAGCTTTTTAGACAAATTAGTAAAGGTCTTTAAGCAAAGGTTTCTAGTTCTTTCTAATGAAAAGTAAATATTATTAGAAAAAAAAGTACATAATAGGAGGAATGGGACACCCTTGTACAAAAACAAAAAAAGAAAAAGAAAAACTACAAGGCTTCAAATAAAGCACTTCAATCCCACTGTCTTGTTGGAAATTTGATCAAGAGGCTATAGGGATACTAAGCATCCACGATCTTAATTGATGAACTTCTATTTAAGTTGTTGAGAGTTCGTGATTTCAGTACATTGGTTGGTTGTCCTAGATTTGGCATTCCTTCACGAATTATTTTTGATTGTTTGAAGGTGTGTATTAGTGAAAGGGAAAAGTTGAAGGAATTTCTCATAAATTTATGTTGAAGGGTTTCTCTTATCAATCAAACTTGCATTTCATATCAAAATATTAATAATATTTATCTCACTGCACAACTCAGTAAATAATTATTGGACTTTGCAGAAGAATATTTTATATATTTTGTCTAATATTTGGTCATAAGGATGAGGATATCAAAATGGAAGTAGAGGCAGCTTTGATGAATTAGAAACTTGACAATGAAGTCCTAACTATTACTGTTGATATTATCTTTGCTGATGATCTTACTTGTCAATACTTAAGGAACAAACTTAGAAAGAGGGGGGCTTTCTGCTGATGAAAGGAAGTATATTCACGTGAGGAGTGTTGCCTACATAATTAACCCAATCGTATAGGATGGCTTGAAATAGGGGAATGTGAGCACTCAATGTATACAAAAGGCTGTGACTATGTAAGACAAACTCCTTGATGATTATAAAGACTCAAGACTGCATAGCCATAGAAAATATACCAAGTAAGGCTCTTTTATTCCTTGATATTCCGACAGCAACAATGCTGCAAGTTTGGCTGAAAATATGACTCTCAGGTGTGAGAATTGTTTCCTCATGAAAGATAAGCAAGCAAAGGCTAATTCAGGAAGGAGTACAACTAATAAGGAAGAATTGGATAAATATTTGGAGTACCGGGAGGATAGTTGTGAGGATTTTGATATATTTATTGCAGTGAAGATCAATAGCGCTAGATTTAGTATCCTCTCTCTGATGGCACATCAATATTATCTCAATGGCAGGTCCATTTGTTACAATGGCAAGCAAAAAAATTATAGGGAGATACAATAAAAAACAAAAAAAAACATCTTAAAGGCCAAATATAATAATCTCTCAATTTCAGTGTGAACCAGAGTACTTTTTACATCAACAACTGAGTTGGATGTCATGCAGTCAATTGATTCAAGTGTAAGTTTCTTTAAGATTTGAGGAGACAAGGTGATCTTATAAGGGACACAGCATATGGGGAAAGAAACAGCTCGAGACAGGGGGCAATGGAAGCTACCAATGGCTTTTTGGGTTGAACTTTCTGTAGAACAGATGCTG